ACAAGAAAAAACAAACAAAGGAATAATGTTTATTATTTGGACGACACACACATTAATGATCAGGATGGTGAACCGATGCAGACTGACGTAAATTCTTCTACAATCTCAGACAAAAAAGTAGTAACAAATGATATCAATTGTGGACCGAATTATGATCAAATGGAAGATTATAAGGGTCGACCTAATGTTAATGACGTCATTGCTTATAAGGTATGAATTAGGTTATTGTCATTAAATATTTTCAATATGTTGCAATATACTAATGGTTTGTTCATATGATCAAGGTTGTTGAATTGTCATCAACTACTTGGACACCTGGGTTTTCAGAATTTAGAGTGAGTTAGTGTCTTTACGTATATGCACATATATATATTTTTTTTGCGCATAAATTGCGTTATTAATTAATATTACGATAATTTATAGGAGGCAAAGATTATAGACTTCGATCCTATTTCACATCAAGTAATTCTTAAACATCAAAACTTAAATCGGCACCGTAAAGAAGAAACAAGCTCGGATCAAGCGAATTCATCTCGTAATAGATTCCAAATTATAGATGTAGATGGTGAATTCGCGTTCGAAGGGCATGAATCAATACCAGAAATACTTAACATTAATTGGAATGATTTGTGTTCGGTCAAGAAGGTTGTAGCATAACATATTGTCAGTTTTAATCGATATTTTAATGGGTACATTGTTTAGTTTGAATTGGTAAATATATGTATGTTTTAATAAAGCGTGTCAAATCGGCCAGAGCGGACTGAAAAACGTTCCGTCTCTGTGCAAAGTGAACCGTTTATCCGTGTGTCTGGTTTTGCCGCGCGACATTAACCCAATCACACCACAATAACGATATATATAATGAAAAATTTTGTTGATTCACGTGAAGCATTTATAATAATATATAGTATGAATAATAGGAAATAAAATTATCCTGATAATTATCATACGGACCCTACTAAATCTATCTAAATCAAACTAATAGGCCATTTAGAAGTATAAAATACCATACCTTCCTCTCTATAAATACTACCTTCCCAATACCAAATTTTTGTATATTCTAATAATAGCTCGTTGAATTTTTTCGTAGAGAATTTATAATCATCTAAACAAAAATCGACTAAATAAGGTTTAATAAAATCTTCTCTCCATTCAGATTTTACTGAAAACAATTGCTTAAATCTTTGTTTTGGATTCGATGATAGTTTAGAGACTGGAAAATATCGAATTAGTTTATTTTTAGTAGATCTTCCAGTTATGGAGTTTAAGGAGTGATCGAAAATAATTGCATTGTCCTTAATAAATTAAAATAATAAGTTATTAGGTAAATATTAATTAGCGGATAAATCAAATCAAACAATTTATTAATTTCATACATTAATTAAGTTAAATGAAATTTCAAAATCGAAAGGAATAGCTTTACTCCATGATTCAAAAAATACATCGAGGGGTATACGTTGATTCTAGTTAACATAAATATGCTATTAAGTATTTATACATTTAACAAACAGTACATAAATATGAAATCTTACATATAGCGTATCCATGTTTCTTAGCACGTGAATTCCAAAGAATCGACTAACTTTTTCTTTTGACAAATTGAAATTTGGATCTAAATTCCATAAACAAGGCATATTAAAGTTATATTAAATATAATTTAACAAATTCAACAAATATATTCAATGAAATAATTACTTGATTCATCTGCATTATCAACTGATTCAGAAAAGCATTCAAAAATATGTTGAATTATAAATGTAGGATGACCATATCCTTTAGCCGCATCACAAGCAGCTTTTAATGGTATGCATTCTAGTTGCACAGACCAAAGATCAATAATTAAAAGAATCGCATTCAAAATACTGTGTATGTATTCAAGGTCAATGTATCTCCAATAGCCTTTATTATTGAAAATAGGATGAAATGATCATTTTTTAATATGTGTGATAATTATAAGAAATAATTTACTGATATAAAGAAAATACCATTAATTTCTAGTGCAAAGTTATTTTTAAGGGCTTGTTTTAATTCTTTTACACTGGCTTGCACGAGATTATCCAATTCATCAAATGTGTAAAATTTTTTCTTTAAGTTGTATATCAGAAGAACATTATAAAAACTGGTTAATTGAAAAAATGTAAAACATAATACAAATACTTACATCTTTATATTCGCGTTCCTCATCAGGCCCTTTATATATAGTTGGTTGTAATAATTCATTCAATTGCTCAATCTTTGGTGCAGATAAAGTTAATTCGCAAAAATAATTTAAAACGTCAACTACTTCAAATACAGGGTCTTGATAATTTTGTACATTTGGTACAAAAGTTAGTGAAGGTGACAGTAAGAGTAGGGAATTACTATAATGCTGTTTACGTATAGTAAAAGTTTTGTCTTTGGTACATAAAACAGGCTCTTCGTCAGGCAAAGTAGCCTTTATGCATAAATTCCTTTTTTTTGTAATAAATTATAATGGAATACGTGTTAAAAGTCAACCTTGACGCGTCTCCTTTATAATTATGTAATTATGTGAACTAAGATAAACATTACCTTGGAAATTCATCACTCTGTATACGAATTTCCTCAAACAATGCAGCAACCTCTGGGGTAAGTTCAATCAATTTATATTGACTTTGTTCAAGATCCTGAGAAAAAAATATGCTCGCGTCCATAATGTGTAGAATATAAATCACATTTTGACTGAAATTTATACGTGGTGTTTCACACGCGACTAATCTTACATAGGAAAAAAGTTCGTCTGATTGGCTAATTTTATATGATTACCAATGATTATTAACCAATCAAATTGCATTATTTTTAACAGATTTATCATTTCACACGTAAAGTGGGTAGACCTCGAGGGGAGACAGTTATCGGTTACACAAATTGCAGATCATTCACGAAAATCTCCGAGAAGTGGATAGCCAATC